TGGCTGGTCGCCTCGTGTCAGCTTGCCAATATCCAAGCTATCTGTTGCAGTCCATAAGTTTTCCATATCCGTCAGCTCTCCCGGGGAGCGGACGTCCTGTGCCCTGTTGTCCGCCCCATTTGCCACGTCGTCCTCAGGAGGTGCTTGGGCCGCTACCCCCCTTGCCGTTGGATGTCGGGCTTGAAGATTGCGTATGCCACGTCGTCCCTCCTCACCCTCTTCGGCGACCGAGATCTCTCCCGATGAGGGTGTGGCTGATGCCATAAAGGGGGCATCATCGGACGAATGGTCAGCATCATCCTCTCCCCCCTCTCCCCCAACAACGGTTGGGATTTCCCGACCGTGCCTTGCCCGCCAAGGACCCATCCTTGTCGGCTCTGGTGGCGCACGTTGTCGCGTTATTAACACTTAGCTGGCAACTAAGTGTAAATATCACAGCAACCAGGTGAGGGTGTACTATAGTTTACCGCTTTTGTACTCTAATTTCATTTGTGTGCTTGGAGTGTATTGTATTGTACTGCAGAGCCGAGTAGCTGGGGAATTGGAGGTGGTTAGTGGGAGGCGAATTCAAGGAGGTTGGTGGAGACGAATTCAATTCCAGCCTGTGAATTCAATTTCGAAGTCACCAGGCTGGAAGGCGAATTCAATGCCAGCCTGGGAATTGAATTCGAAGTCACCAGGCTGGAAGGCAGTGCATGCCTAGTGGGCCCAGTGGGAACACAGCTAGCACCTTGGAGACCTCGCGAGCAGCCCGGCTGACTCGCTTGGTGAACAGGAGCTTGCTTGTGGAGGAAGCAACCTAGGCAGGGGGTGGGGATAGATGTAGGCAGGAGTAGCACTCGGGCTTCTTGCTTTTTGCTTGTATGTTTCTCATTTACTGCAATTTGTTTTCCTAATCCAGAGGGAACTAGCAGTAGGAGAAGCTATAAGCAATTTGACGGAGCCCTTAGGGGGAGTGTTACGCTTGCTACAGGAGAAGCCTGAGGGGAAGCCTGAGGTACCAGGAGGAGTGCAGAACAGAGTGTTTACATACGCCAGGAGGAAGAAGGGATGAACCTGATCAGTAGTACGGGTGGCAGGGAAGGAAGGAGAGAAGGAGAAGTCAGCAGGATACACAGGGGAGAAAGGGAATGAGGGTGGACAGAGGAAGATTCACGACAACGTGCTCTAACTCCGCGTCCCCTCCTCCCTCCTTACCTTCCGCCGCCCCACCGTTCCCCACCGCACGCCCAGCAGGGCGCCACGGAGTGGCCGGGGCCACCCAACGAGCTCTCGCCGCATAACGTGTCGCACGTCGCGCTATCGGAGGCGCATTCGGCGCCGGTTCTTCCGCCTCCTGTCGCAACTGACGTTTTCTGCGTTGCTGTCTCTGTGTTGTTGCTGTATCCGCGACATTCACTCCTTCTTCGGTCGGCAATGGGGCTGGAGCTTTGGTTCTTGTGGTGTCTGCCCTTGCTGATGCCATCCCCGGAGGGGCCCGGTGGGCAGGTGCCAGCGCTGCTCCGAGTCGCCGCGGCGCTGGCTGAAGGCGGGCTCGACCGTGAACGCGACCCGCATTGCCGCCGTCGTTCCCCTGTGTACCGCTCCCCCGGCGCCCATGCCCACCCCTTCCGCCGATCCTATCGCTCCCCTCCACGAGGAGGACTCGGGGACCCGAACATGTTGCGTCGTCGACAGAGGCAGCAGAGAGACTGAACCGTTGGCAGAAGTGGCAGCTCCAGCAGCAGCCTCCCCCTGTGCAGGCTCCGCGTCCACCGTTGGTGCTTGCGTCATCTCCCGCGCCTCCTGGGTTGCTGTCAGTGGTGTCGCAGCAACCGCATCCCCCTCTTCCAACGCCTCTCCCTTTCGGCGAGTCTTAGACGCTGCAGCCGCGGCCTCGGCTTCCTCCGCAGACTCCTCCGCCTGCCTCTCATCCTGCCGGTGTGGCGCCGCCACCCCCGCCGCCACCGTCGTATGCCTCTGCTCCTGTGAGCCGTGAGGCTGTGGTTCCCGCCGTGCCTGCACCGCCCCCAGACGAGCGTTGGAGCCGGTGGGGAGAGTGCACGCCTGTTGAGCGTTTGCTTGACGTTGAGCTGCGCGTAATGACCGTGGCGATGTGCCTGGACCATTTGGCGGAAGTCCTCGGCCAGCTGCATTCTTGCATGATGTGTCACGGTTTGGAGTGTCCGAGGCTTTCTCAGCAGGAGACCAAGTCTGCCGTGGCAGCCGTGACGGAGATCATGCGATCGCTCCCACACATGGTCCTGGAGTTGGGAGCACCTAGTGTTGCCTCTAGACCGGGGCCTGCCGCGTTACGTCGCCTTGTGTCCTCCGCTTCGCGGTCACCTCTCGACCTCGTGCCGGCCGTGTGCTTCTGTGCTACGTTGGATGGACGGGCGCTTGTTTGGATACTCGCCGAATAGCCTTGTGCTCTCACCTTTGGCCACCACCTTCTGGCGTGGTTTGGCTCTGGGCTTCCCCATGGCGGTGTAGTCACGCCCAAGGGTGTTGTAGTTGCTGTTGTTCCTTTACTTCTGCATGTTGTAGTGCTCCATATTGGTCCCTGTGTTCTTTTGATCTTGTCACCCCTAACGCGCGGAGCCGAAGGCCGCGCTGTCAGAGCGTCGGCCGCCGAAGGTGGCCGGCGCGAGCCGCTGGGTTAGGAGAAGGAATTGCAGATAACAGAATGAAGATGAACCCCACACCTAGGTCCTAGGCCTATATCTAAGCTAGGAAGGGCTGGAGAGACTAAGGACTAGATCCTAAGCCTCTCTCTCTCTCTCTCTCTCTCTCTCTCTCTCTCTCTCTCTCTCTCTCTCTCTCCTCTCTCTCTCTCTCTCTCTCTCAATCTCTCTCTCATCTCATCTCTCTCTCATCTCTCTCTCTCTCTCTCTCTCTCATCTCTCTCTCTCTCTCTCTCTCTCTCTCTCTCCTCTCTCGGCGAGCCGCTGGGTTAGGAGAAGGAATGCGAGAACAGAATGAAGAATGAACCCCCACCTAGGTTCTAGGGCCTATATACTAAGCTAGGAAAGGGCTGAGAGACTAAGGACTAGATCCTAAGCCTCTCTCTCTCTCTCTCTCTCTCTCTCTCTCTCTCTCTCTCATCTCTCTCCTCTCTCTCTCTCTCTCTCTCTCTCTCTCTCATCCCCCCTTAACCTCTCTCATCCCCCCTTAACCTCTCTCCTCCCCCCCCCCCCCCCCTCTACAGCAACCGTGCGCAGGAAGAGAGGAGAGGGAAGGGAGGGACGGTTGTTGGCGGTTCACACCCGTCACCCCCCCACATCTCCCCCTCCTCCCTCCCCACGATGGAAGCCGCGGAAGGGAGGGAGGGTGGGGGGGGCGGCGTTAGCTGCTGCTGGCGCTCCATTGGCACCTGCGCTGGCGCTGATCGCAGGTGCTGGCGCTGGCGGTCCGCGCTGGCGCTGGCGCTCGCGGCTGGTCGTTGCGCTGGCGCGCAGGCAGCCACTGGCGCTCGTCAGTGGCGTCCGCGCAGGCGCCGACATTGGTCGTAGGGGCAGGCGCTGGCGCTCGTCACTGGCGGATCGCGGGGCGACGGGAAGGTTGAGCTGCGGTCGACGGGAAGGGGGGGCCCACGGTCGACGGGAACCAGGGCGCTGCGGCGACGGGAAGCGGGGCACTGTGGTGGCGGAACGCGTGGCGCCGCGGCGATGAGATCAGGGGCGCCGCGGCGACGGAAATCGGGACGGGGAGGCGCTTTGGGCGCGACCGGGCAGAGCGCGACGAGCACGACGGAAATAGGGACGCGCAGGCACCTCGGGCGCGACCAGCGACGATATAAAAGTAGCGCATTTCGCGCTCTAGTACGGGTGGGCCCATGTTCCGTGAAGAAAAAGGTAGGTCCTTAGACCGTTTTACTGCTTTGTACCATGTCAGAATAGTAGCTAGTGGAGACTAGGGTTTGTGAGAGAGAGTTGGCCAAAGAAGGTTGCACTATAGGATTAGGGAACAATGTGTAGGACAGGGGAGGTGATGAAGGGAGGTAGACCACCTAAGAGAAGAATGGGTGATACTACACTAACTAACTAACATGCAATTGTATAAGAATATTACATTTTCACATTTCTGTCTGTTCTTCTGAGATTTCAGACAGTTTTTTGGGCTTTTATACGGGCCATCATAAAACATTTCGGAGTTATCACGAGCAGTCACGGCGCTATCACGAACGATCACTTATTCCGCCAAATCTATCACGAATCATCACAAGGGTATCACCCGCCGTCACTCAAAAGAACTAAATTCTATCACGGGTAGTCACACTCGAGATTTTGCTAGTTACAGATGAAACCCTCTCATCATTTCGGTGACCCCCTTTGTAACACTGTACAAATTTAGGGACTATATAGTACAGTACTTCCCAAATTTTGAAATGCACCGTGGATGCCGGCGATCATAAGCTCTTCCGCGAAAAAGGTGTGTAGTATTCGATTTCGAGGCGCGCGATCTCAATCTGCTCCACTAGCGAATCAAGAGAGTCGCTGTGGGCTGCACCCTATCCCTCACTTCATCCTTCCTCCCTTGATGCTCAGCTGTATATCAGATGGATTGTCGAAAACCACTTTCAATCGCGTACGGCAGAAATTCTCGTAGCGGCCATCACTTAGCACCACAATGTCTAGCCCTACAGCGACCAATGCCGCCGCGGCCCCCGCAGCGGCCGCCAATTCCCAGAAAACGATTGCGTTACTATCGATAACATAGACGACGACCACGATTTTTTGAGTGACATTGACGATAGCGACGACGCACATTTTCCACGTCGTCATCCGGATACTTGACGATCATGTCGAAGCGCACAAACGCGAAGCCGCCAGCAAGAAAATTTCACCTTCCCCCGACTCAGCCTCCGCTGCCCTCGCTTTTGTGCTGACCTTCCACAACATCTGCTACTTCCGTTCCGTAGTACAGTGCAGAGGGAGATCCGCCGGCGCCGGCTCGTAGTTCGCGCGGCAAGACAGCACGCTCGCGATTTTCCCCGGAGTGTTGCCTTAGCAGGGCTTTCCAACGGGCGATTTCTGTCATGGCACAAACGGATGACGGTGCTACTCGAACCAGCGCCGCGGCGCCTGACGGTGGCGGGATCGTCGACGGGATGCGCCGGAAGCGCGTCCTAAGCATCTCCCCTTGTTCCCCCCCCACTCTCCTCTAAGCATCTCCCCCTGTCCCCCCCCCACTCTCCTCTAAGCATCTCCCTCTGTCCCCCCCCCCACTCTCCTCTAAGCATCTCCCTCTGTCCCCCCCCCACTCTCCTCTAAGCATCTCTCCCTATCCCCCCCACTCTCTTCTAAGCATCTCCCCCTGTCCCCCCCCCACTCTCCTCTAAGCATATCCCCTTGTCCCCCCCCCGCTCTCCTCTAAGCATCTCCCCTTGTCCCCCCTCCACTCTCCTCTAAGCATCTCCCCCAGTCCCCCCCCTTACTCTCTTCTAAGCATCTCCCCCTGTCCCCTCCACTCTCGCTCTCCAAGGATTCCTCCCTATTGCACTCCTCTGTATCTTCTCTTTGCGAGCTAGGTTGCACAGGTCGCTTCCACACATGCTAACACGCTGCATCGTGCTTTCATTTTCATACACATCCTTTACCAACGTTACATTCTCATACACACCCTTTTCCAACGTTACGTTCTCATACACATCCTTTTCCAACGCTACGTTCTCATACACATCCTTCGGAGTGATGTGATGCTCCATGTCGTGCTCGTTCTCGTAGTCATAATAACACCCTTCTTCATCGTATGCTATGTATGCAGGTGGCGACTCTTAGATCCACTGCGGCCGTCCGACTGTCAGCTCGTCGTACATTGGATCATTTTCTTCTTCATCTTCAATTGATCCTTCGGGTCGTTCTTGAGGCGGGTCTGCAAACATGTCCTCCCAGTTGCGGAAGAAGCGGTAGTGCCGGTTTGGGGCGAGGCGGTCCTCGACGCACCATGCAAGTCAAACCTTGCTTTTGCCCTTGTCGTTTATGTTCGTGAAACACGCGCCGGAACTTGAGACATGCTGGCGACGGCTGGTGGTGACACTGTCTGGTTGCGCGCCGGAGCTCCTCCTTGTTGTGAGCAGTGGCACCATTCTGGTTAATGTTATTGCCATTCAGCTTCCAGCAGTCTTGATGCCCAGTCTTCTTGCAGTACTTGCAGAAGAGTTCTTTATTATCCGGTGGCGCTTGTGCTTAGAAAGCAATTTTCTCCTTCTTATTGCCTCTTTCGTTGTACAGGTCGATCTCCTTCTGTTCGGAGAGGAGCATGGAACACAAGGCTGTTTCACTGAGGGTCCCTTGAGTACGAAGGAGGCGACTTGCACTGGCGCCATTTCGGGCTCAATCCAATGAGAATGATGGTGACGAACATGTCGTCAGGGAAGTTACCGCCGCTTTTTCCTGAAACTGGTCTCTCAGGTTCCTGCAAGCGGTTGATATATGGTCCGTCCTTTTCTCCGGGAACATCTTGACATTGTTCAGCTGGTTTAGTAGGCGACTAAGTGTCACCGAATCTGTTGCCATGTGGCAGGTGCGCAGGTGTTCCTAGGACTGTTGCGCGGGTGCCCACGTCGTTCTTGAAGGGGCAAATGCTCAGCTGCTCTTCGGACGACAGGTTTCCGAATCAAGACGGTGAAGCCAAGAGCGATTCGTTGTAAAACTTGCGTCTTCTCCTTGAGGTGAGCCGTTGGTTGGGAATGCGTACGATTCGTCGTAATACATCCAGATCCGAGCGCCCTGAGCTAGTAATTCGAATTCGAAACTCCAGGTGTAGAAATCTTGCCCATTGAAGGGCTTCGTTGTCCTGAGTTTCGATGTTGAGAGGAACTTGCTCTGGCATTGACGCCATTTACTCGTAATGCGTCTGTTATGCTTGTGCAGAACCTTGAGCTCCGCGGTTGTCAAAGGTGAAGGATCGCTCAGATCCAGCTCCTTGAGGATCGGGAGGTCTTAGGGCATAGCTGGAGCCGTCGATGCTAATCAGCTAATGGCTCTCCAGTGCGCTGATGCGGGAGATCAGCTGCTCGAGGAGCGATGTGTCCATAGACGTTGTAGTAGAAGCAAAATTGGTGGAGGGCTGTACTGATTTTCTCCAGCCTCACCGCAAATCTGCACCTGGCATGTTGATGCCCTTGATGTTTTTGTTCTTGGTGTAGGGATGTCTTGTAATAAGAGCATGTTTTGAGGTCTTTAGCATTCCCATAATCCAAACTAGCTCTAATACCATGTTAGAGTAAGGATCTTGGATAGGGTAGGAATGCGTTAGTAGAGATTGGTAGTGGAAGTCTTTGTGAGAACTTTGATAAGAGTGGAATGTTGTTAGAATCGAGGAATGAAATGAACTAGCATAAAATTGGGTACAAGTAGGAAACCCTAGGAAACTGTACCCCATAGTGTCTACCCCACTATAGCCTACACAAGCTATATAATATGAGTCTGACACACCCCCATAGGCAAAGTGGGGGAGAACAAGAGGTCACAAGACCAGT